CTAATGTCAGCATCCAAACAATAGGCAAAATAGATACCCACCCACCCACCCACTCCAATACCTCAGATGAAAGTGGTATTGAATTTAGCTTCTAAAGTACGTTTTATTTTTAAAAGTTAAAAGTACTAAGAACTATTAAAAGATGCTATGGAGAAAAAAAAGACCCAAGTAGAATTTTAAGAAATGAAAACAAATTGGGATAAAACTAACAGATGTGGTATTTTGTCTTGTCTCTCTTGGTTGCCTGTTCTTTGGGAAAGATAAATTTTAGGAGGACCCAGGATGAGCCAACCTCTGGTGTCTTGGATCTCTGTCTCATTGGGCAGCATATGTGATGTTGTGGATGGTTCCAGAAAATGGTTGGGGATTGGAAATGAAATAAAAGGCTAAAGGGACTTTGTGGCACTTCAAGTGTTAGGTATTGCCAAATCTTTCAGTGACAATTTGGAAAAGGAGCAGTACTCAGAGAGGGAGGAAATTCCAGGACAACTGGCTTATGCTACAATTTCTACCTTATAAAAATAAAAGTCTTTTCATGGGGCAGCGGAGAGCTCTGGAACAAGATAATTTGAAGATCAAGTTGGGGTGAATGTTGCAGAAAATCTTTCCAGGTATGAATTTTAAAACACATAGTAATTAAGAGGAATGCTGGTGTGGCACTGTAGGATAAGCACTGGACTGCTAACCACAAGGTCAACAGTTCAAAGCTAGCTTCTCACTATGCTCTGGTAGCGTAGTGGTTACAAATCTGGCTGTTAATCTCACGGTTAGCAATTCGAAACTACCAGATGTTCGGCGGGAGAAAGATGAGGCTTTCTGCTCCTGTAAAGATTTACAGCCTCGGAAGCCCTATGCAGGGTCGCTATGAGTCGGAACCAAATCCACAGCACATAACAACAACGAAAACCAATTCTGTTGAAATACGTATAAAAATTTGTGTGTTCGATTTTGTGTGTGTGTGTTTTGTTTGTTTGTTTTTACTAATGTATAACTAATGAGATCTGGCAGGTCTACCAGCTGCCATAGTTTTAAAGTAATGATGAGTGTGACTGTTACCTGGAGATATTTGCAACCACTGTTGTGTGATGTGAAAATATCTGAGATTCCTTGGTAAAAAGTCATAGTTATTGCTAATCATTACTAGTTGTGTATAGTCACAATTGAAACACATTATTAAATTTCAATTAGAAGTTAATGAAAAATGCATTTATTTTCATTCAGTTTGCAAACCTATCTAAAAAGAGTTTGTGAACTTCAGGTGATGAACCTGTGTCTTAGAAACACTTTTACACATGTGCATGTGCTCAAAAGATTAGCATTCTATCACCATTGCAGTATTATAATAACAACAACAAAGGGAGTTACAAAGATACATCAGTAGGGGATTGTATATATATATATACTGTAAAATACTTATAGTAAATGGATTAGTATTACACTCAGCAATGAATATTTTGTATTGTCTTCTTGTATATGATAATGAATGTCTTCATGCAATATGGAGTGAAAAAAGTAAATGTCTAAAGAATGCATGTTCTGTAACATTTTTTAAGGAAATTGTAACATTTTATATAAGATATAAATATCCATTTGGGAATTTGTTGGTGGTGCCATCAAATGAGTTCCGACTCATAACTAACTACCTTGTACACATTAGAACAAAACAATGCCTGGTCCTGGACCATCCTCACCATCATTGTCAATTGCTGCTACTGCCACTGTCCCAATCCATCTCATTGGTGGTCTTCCTTTTTTTTGCTCACTCTCCACCTTACCAAGTATGATACTTTTCTCAAGAGACTGGTCCTTCTTAATAATATGTCTTCTCAAACTGCTCCCTCTCACCGTGTCCCCATCTCTGCCTCCATCTCTGGTGTCGCTGCTTCTCTGGATAAGATCCCGCATTCCACTTGTGCTCTCCTCCCTTGATGGTCCTAGGGTCCTCTGTTTCTGGACTGTAAGATTAACTACTCCCCTGTTTTTGTTACAAAACTTATACCTTTACGATTGTGACAGTCGCAATTAGTCATGATAACAATTATTCACTATTGAATCATAGGAATCTTATCCCCATCTCTTTTTACCAGACCTATCTTGAACTGTAAGGTCGGCGGTTCAAGCTCAACAGCCGCTCCTCAGAAACCCTATACAGGGTCACTGTGGGTCGGGATCGACTCAGCGGCACTTAACTACAACATCTAGACAAGATGAAAACTATTCAGTGGGAACTCTATCTACCCCCACGTACTCTTAAACTAAACTTCCTCTTGAAACTTTGTAAGCCAGTCACTTCGTGCCTTTATTGTGCCCTCATTTTAGGTAGCCAGTATCTTAAGTTGCCCATCCCTATCTACCTTGTGTACAGAGGGGATAGTATTGATACTTGATGTGAAGACTCTTTCCCTCTCTGTTGGTATTTAGAGTAACAATCACTCTGAGTATAGGTCAGGTTCATCAAATTGAAGCAATTTACCCCTTTTCCTTTATAAAAAAAATTATTTTTTTATCTTCCTCTAGTCAAGTTCTGATTATCAAGCCATCGAGGCAAAGTAAAATGGGTACTGTCTGCAAGTTTGGGTGTTCTTGTGCGTCTCCTCTCACTTCATATCAGCTGGATGCTTCACTCTCAGCTCTAGCCCTCTCTGTCTACGTCCTTGCCCGTAGGCTCAGGTGTCCCCAGGTCTCACCACACTTTGGACCAACCAGGCCTTCCTCTTCTCTCATCTCCAGGTCAACGGGACTCTGTGGAGCATGGTTGAACTCAGCCCATTTCTTTATTGCTGCCTTTCTCCTTCTTCTACTCACCAGTAGACCAGTGTGGTCGCCAGCAAACTTACATGCCTGTTCATGTGTTCCCTTTGAGTTTCAGTCTTAAAGAGGGTTTGTCCTGAAGGGACTTGATTGCTTGCCTTCATGGCTCGTCAATATACTTTTGCAGGCATTTAAAATTTTTCTTTAGCAACATGTTACTTGCATTTGATGTTAATGATACTGTCCTACAGTTTCCTCATTCCATTGGGTCACTTCTCTTTGGAATGGGCATAAATATGGATCTTCTCTAGTCAATTGGCCAGATAGCTGCCTTCCAAGTTTTTTTTGACATAGATGAGTGAGTACCTCCAGTACTGCATCAGTTTGTTTAAAAAAAAAAGTACATCCAAATTCAGGTAATGGTTTTACAAAGGTAGGGATAGACCTGGGGTGGACTATCTAAGTACATGTTATTGTTGTTAAGTGCCGTCGAGTCAGTTTTGACTCATAGCGGTCCTGTATAGGGTTTTCGAGAAGCAGCTGGTGAGCTTGAACCGCTGCTGACCTAGCGGTTCAAACTGATTTTGCTGTCCAGTGCATTAATCCACAGTGCCACACCAGGACTGTTGTTAGTGCCATCTCATTGGTTCTGACTCATAACAACCCTGTATGTATAGTTTCCAAGGAGTAAGGTGGTAGGTTTGAACTGCTGACCTTGCAGTTAGCAATACCGTGCTTATCGTATCTGTAATGTTTAGTTATGTAGCCAACCATGTAGTGAATATATTACTGTATTGTGTGCCTAGACTGTGTCATTAAAATATAGGTTGCATACTCTGACTAAATGTACCAGTTAGAGATAGTTAATATTGTTAATGGAAGAATAGCAAATTAAGTGCTTTGTTCCTTTAGCTCAGATAGGAAGTGAAATAACCTATGAAGTACCAGGTACTTTAAACATGTAATGAGATCATACTTAATAGATTACTTATTTCTCACAACAATCCTGTGAGGTGGTGCACTGTAGTGGTTCTATACCATGGAGTCAGTTCTGACTCACAGCCACCCTGTATAGGGTTTCCAACACTATAAATCTTTACAAGAGCAGAAAGCCGTATCTTTCTTCCACTGAGGTGATGGTACATACCTGAAAAGGAAATTCTATCAATATGAAGACAAAACTGAAATTTAAGTTTAGATCTTTCTACTTGCCAAACCTGCACTCATTCCATGATATTAACTTGCATAGCTCTAGTAATTGTTTTTTAGTGCCATCAAGTTGATTCCAACTCAGGGTAACTCTGTATAGGGTTTCTAAGAAGTGTCTGGTGGGTTTGAAGCATCAACCTTGCAGTTAGCAGTCCAGTGCTTATTCTACAGTGCCACAACAGGACTCCTATCTTTAGCAATAGCTGATTTATTTTGGAAGTCTCAAGTTAATATTGTTGTTTTTAAGTGCTGTTCAGTGGATTCCGACTCATAGTGACCCTGTACAGGGTTTCAGAGGAGCAACTGATGGATTTGAACCACTGACCTTGTGCACAGTCTTGTACTGATGCTACAGTGCCACACCAGGAGTCCTGTCTCTAGCAATGTTGTTGTTAAGTGCCATGGAGTTGGTTCTGACATACAGCAAACCTATATAGGGTTTCCAAGGAGCGGCTACCAATCTTGTGGTTCAAGCTGACCTTCCAGTTTACTGCTTATCCTACAGTGCCACACCAGAACTCCATCTCTATCTAGCAGTGTTTTTGTTGTTAAATGCTTTCTAGTCAGTTCTGACTCATAGTGACCCTTTATAGAGTTTCCAAGGAGTGGTTGGTGAGCTTGAACCACCAACCTTGTGATTCAGACTGATCTTACAGTGCAATGCATTCCCACAGCACCACACCATGACTCCATTAATTTGCCACATCCGAAGTAAGTCACCTATCTCTAGCAATAGGTAACTTATTTTGTAAGTGGCAAGTTAATAGCACCTTACAAAATGAGACGCAGATGCACATTAACATGAAGGTATTAAATAATCTCAAGTGTGACTTTATAACTCAGATTTTTCTTAAACATGTTAACCTGTTCTTGTGTTCCATTGACAGACTAATGAGCTATTATCAGTAGATTGAGCGTTATATTGTTCCTGTTTTGTTTATTAATCATTATTATTTAGGAAATGTTTAGTATCTAAATCAAACTATATGACTGGTGTTCTATTTTTTAAAATCTGATCCTGTTTTGGTTTGTGCTTTTAGGATCGAAAGTTAACAAAGTCGGAGAGGCAGAGATTTAAAGAAGAGGCTGAAATGTTAAAAGGTCTTCAGCATCCCAATATTGTTAGATTCTATGATTCATGGGAATCTACAGTAAAAGGAAAGAAGTGCATTGTTCTGGTGACTGAACTTATGACATCTGGGACATTGAAAACGTAAGTCCATCAATATATTAATAGCTGATTGAGAAACATGAGAGAGTTTGATCCCAGTCTTTTGTTGTCCAGTCCTTTAAGGAAGAAACAATCCCTCCTACCACTAGTATATTAGCATAATTTCCTGCCCAGAGTCTACTTGTAATTAAAGTGAGTTTCTAATTATTTATTGTAAGCATTGAAATGAGAGATTATTGCAGAATAAACCTAGCTATTTTAAGGCATAGTGATTTGCGTTTTTTAAATTGAGTGGCTGAGGGATAAGAAAGCAAATGATAAGATCGCCCTCTAGTGGTTCAAATGAAATAAACCCAAACGCACTGCCGTGAGTAGATTCTGACTCAGAGACTCTGTAGGACAGCCCAGAGAGTGTAGAGGGCGGAGTAGATCTGCTGCCAAGACAGTAAACCTTAACCAGGTCAGAAAGTCTCATTTTTTTTTCTTCCATGGAGTGTCTGGTGAGTTTGAACTGCTGATCTTGTGTTTAGCAGCATAATGGTTAACCCTCTACCAGAGCTCTTTTTGAACCAAAATTTAAAAATTTTTTTATAACCTTGTTTTGGGTAGTTTTTGCTACATCTATGCAATATTGTATCAAATACTTGCATTATATATTTTGACAGTTATTCCTAGAAATATGATAGGTTCCATTTTCTATAGCTTCAGAAATTGAAGCCTAAACTTAATCTTTTTCAAGGAACCCAACAAAGATATAAAGCAGAAATTTCTTGTTCACTATTTATAGAGAGCTTTAGTCAAGAGGTTGAGTGTACCTTTGTAATCCCAGGTCTCTTAGAGTATATATTTGTACTTAAGGCAGAAGTTAGTATAAATTATATGTCACAATTTTTTTTACTGCAGAGCAATTGGCATTTTCAAAATTGTCATTGTGAGATATATATTTATTCTTCATTACTTGCCTTAAAAAATTGACTCTGTATCTCCTGGATGTATTTATTTAATTGTTTATGCCCTTGGGTGCCCAAAATTAACATGTTGAAAGCCAGCAGATCATTTTTTCCTTCCTTCATATTCCAATTTTCCCACTCAATTGCTCTAACTGTGCTTACACAACACATTCTTCATAGTTATCAAGGCTTGAGTTCCACAAACCATTTGCTGATTTATTTTTCCCCCTAAACCCACAGTGTAACTAGTCTACAAGAATTATTAATTTTGAAAAATAGCTCTCTTCAATCCAATTGTGCTTCCCATTGGTGGAGGTGGTTATGTGCCATGGAGTCGGTTCTGACTCATAGCGATCCTATACAGGGTTTCTGAGGCTGTAAATCTTTATGGGAGTAAAAAGCCTCATCACTCTACTGCTAGACAAAAGGATAGTAATTCAAACCCACCAGCTGGGCAGTCTATTACCGTAAAGATTTAGTGGTGGTGTTTATGTGCCCTGGAGTCGGTTCCGACTGATAGTGACCCTGCACAGAGTTTCCAAGGCTATAAATCTTTACAGATGCAGAAAGCGTCATCTTTCTCCCGCAGAATAGCTGGTAGTTTCGAACTGCTGACTTTGCGGTTCACAGCCCAATTCGTAACCACTACGTTGTTGTGCTTCCCATTGCTCTGATCATATTTCAAGCTTTCATTGTCTAAAAGTTTCACTGTCATCACAGCCTGACATCAGGCCTTCTCTGAAAGTTTCGTGAGCAATCTTATTTTCCTTATGTCTTAATTTACCATCTGTATTTTGATAACAGAGTCCTGGTGTAGAGTTTCAGGTTAATGCAAGGTGTATTTGAACTGCAAGGTTGGCGGTTCAAGCTCACCAGCCACTCCTTGAAAACCCTATACAGGGTTGCTGTGAGTCGGAACAGACTCCACGGCACTTAACAACAATTCTGGTAATATCTGAATCTCTATTTCTGTTCTGTTTTCTTGAGTTTAAGACCTATAGATATTCTATCTACTCTAAACTCCTCACATTAGTCTCTTACCTCTATCCTCATGCCAGCAAACCTTACCTTTCTTTTCATTTAAAAAAATATTTTGTTTTTAGTAAAAGTTTACATAGTAAATTAGGTTTCCATTTGACAATTTTGTAAACAAATTGTTCGTGAACATTAAAATCATTGCCAATGTATTACTGTTCTCTTTGTGTTCTAGTTCTGTTTTTTAGTACTCTAGTTCCTTTGCCCTCTTATCTGCTCATCTTTGCTTTAGAATAATTGCTGACCTTTTAGTCTCAAATAGATGGTTTTTAAGTAAAACATTGTACTTACGGGTAATAGCCCTTATTTTGTGTGCCACTATGTTATTTCACTAAAAGGTAATCAAGATAGTTTCAGTTCATTGTTTAGAGTACCCTAATAGTCTCAGGGAGTCCTCTGATATGAACTGGTCCAATAAAATGCCATCAAGTCGATTTTGACTCGTGGAATCCATGTGTGGATTATCAAGGCTGGTCTTAGCATGTAGTCTAACAGTGGGTATTGTAATTATCCCCATTTAACCATGAGTTGGCTATCAGTTTATATGAATTATTGACACTAATGGTTCCAAGTTGGTTAGAAATTCTATTTATGAAAGTAGGCTCTACTGCTGCTAGACTTTTTGTCAAGGTGATTGGACAAGAATCAACTTAAATGAAGGACCCTGATAATCATATCAGAGAGATTTTTTTTGTTGTAATGTCTTATCGGAACTGACAGAGCTTTGTTTTTGCTTTTGTCCTCTTAAGATAATAAATTGTGGTGATTTTAACTATTTGTATTTTTAGCATCACTTCTCATTCCAACCACATTTACTTTGTATGAGTCTAAAACTATTCTGTTTGGTTGTATAGGACAAACTGGATTCCCTTATAAAAATGCTATAATAATCGTGCTTATACATGTGCATATATTTATTCCTATAAAACAGATTACTAAAATTGAAATGGTAGAGTCAAAATATATGTGTAATTTTCATTTTTAAAGCAATTTAGAAGAACATATGATCCCTTCCTACTGACTGGTGTGACTTTTGAAGTCCCTTACCAAAAATGACAGTATTTAAACATAAATTCATAATTTTTAAAGGATAAACAGGTCTTCTGTAAGTGGAGCGGGGGGTATGAAAATACCTAAATTGTTGAGTCTATTCTGACTCATAGCAACTCTATAGGACAGAATAGAACTGATCCTTAAGGTTTCTGAAATGGTAAATCTTTTTGGGAGCAGACAGCCTCCTCTTTTATCCCATGGAGCTGCTGGTGGGCTAGAACTTCCGACCTTAATCCACTGTACTTAATCCACTGTGACACAGGGCACCTCCTTACTATTTGGTTTATTATGTGCTGTGGAGTCGGTTCTGACTCAGCGACCCTCTATAGGGTTTCCAAGGCTGTAAATCTTTACAGGAGCAGAAAGCCTCATATTTCTTCCTTAGAACTGCTGGTAGTTTCGAAATGCTGACCTTGAGATTAGCAGCCTGGTTTGTAACCACTACACTATTAGAGCTCCTTCTTACTATAAACTAGTGAATATAATAAAGTTAGTGGTGTGCTATACCATTTGGTTAAAAGTAGAAAGTCAATATAAAAGGGAATAATGACAAATCTTTAGTAGATAAGCTAAGAAACACTGTGGAGAGTTTTGAATGCAGTTTAAAAGATTATTTTCTGCTTTAATTAGAGGATAATAAGAAATCATTGAAGAGAATGCTTTTCCCTCCTTTTTTTTTTGTGTTGAAAATATAGCATACTTTCATCAATTCAATAATTTGTACACATAGAATTGATTACATTCCTCAAGTTGTATAACCATTCTCACCCTCTTCTTTTGAATTGTTCCTCCTCTCTGCTAAGGCAAACTCACTGCTCCCTAAATTTCCTCGTTTCCTCTGTAATCAATAGTTGTTATTGTCGGTTTGATCATGTATGAACACAATGGGCTCAAACATAAGTTTTGAGGAATGCTGTAATTTTTTGTGTTGTGTCATAGGGTCTATAGGAGTTCTAACTCTCTCCAGGGCAGTAACAACAACAGATGGTTCATAAAAGAGTACAAATGATTAAGTGCTGAACTATTAAACAAAAGATTCACAGTTTATACCCATCCAGAGGCACCTCAGAAGTAAGATCTGGTTATCTGTCTGAAAGATCACAGCCTTCAAAACCCTATGGAGGAGGAACAAACAAGATGTCGCATCGGGTGGACGTATAACAGAGAGCTCCGCCAACAACAACACTGCTGTGAAAAACATCCTAAAGGAAGTTCTGTGGACTGAGAACCAGCAAGAAAGAACACATTAACAACTACAAAATGACGTACATCAAGGCTTTTATGAACTACTTCCAGATTGAGTGTCTTGAATATAGACAACACCTAGGAACTCCATGGAGTCAGGAACTCTGCTGTCACATCCTCCCACATCTACCTCTTGAGCTCCTGGGTAGACAGGACCCCCCTACAGTTTTCTCCTCTCAGGTCCAATAACTGCTCTGTTTTTGTTTCTCCCTGTTTCTCCTTTCCATTTTCACTTTTGTTTTCCCCCCTTTTCTTCGGATTCTCTACTTCCCTCCTTTGCTCTCCCTTTTAATCATTCATTGCTACTTTCTACTGTGTTTGAACTGACTTGACAGAGCTTAACAAACAATTCTTTATTTTCATCTACCGTCTCACTGGTTTTTCTAAGTGTTTTTTATTTTTTTGTCTTATTTTTCTCTTCTCTAGCTCCATTTCTGTGTCCTTTTTTGTCTGTATAATTATTGTATTCTTTTTTTTTTCGGGGGAGGGGTTATTTATTTTTACTCTATATTATTTTCTCTCTTCATTGTTGGTTCCTTGTTTATTTTGTTTTCTTGTGTGTTACAGGGAGAGATTTACTCTCTCCCATCTGACAGGAGATAGCAACCACATTCATATAGCCACAACCTTACACAAAATACACATTTCTATTCTCTAACTACATCTGCAGGATACAGTTGGTGAGAGCCTAAGAGCACATCCATATACAATCATCAATTATATACAAATATGACAACCCCACAGTGCCTAGGAAACAAT